AGGTGAGAAAAGACTTCTGCGTAAAACAGTGTAATGCATCATTCCTTCCATCCTCTAAAAATTCACAAAGATAAAAGCCTCCTAAATGGACAGTTTGCCAACCACATGGGGAAAACATCACCATGAAAACAGTGCAGCAGCAAAAACAGCAGAATTAGATTCACATATTTTAGAATCATTATGTATAATTCACACATACCAAGAAATGTATGTGTCAGTACATTCAATTGAAAAGTGGTCTTTTTTTTTTTTTAAAAGAGACTATTCATGGGGCGCCTGGGTGGCTTAGTCGGTTAAGTGCCCGACTTTCGCTTAGGTCATGATCTCGCGGTTCGTGGGTTCGAGCCCCGCGTCGGGCTCTGTGCTGACTGCTAGTCAGTCCTGTTTCAGTCTGTGACTCCCTCTCTCTCTGACCCTCCCCTGCTCACGCTCTCTCTCTCTCTCTCTCTCCTAGAAATAAATAAAGCATTAAAAAAAATTTGTAAAGAGACTATTCAAATTAATCAGGTGAGTTCGAAAAGGAACTTAAAAAAAAAACACAAAACCATAATGATCCATGCGAGCAATGTCAGGAGTGGATTAAATAGCAAGTTAGTCGTGGCTGAAGAACAGTGAAATATGGAACCAAGCAAGTAACATAGCAGCTGAGAGAGAAAAATGTATGGAAAGTCTGAAGGTGAAATTCAAGATGAAGGTCATTTTCAAAGGTATGAGGTGAGACTTCTCAAGATTTAAGCATTAAATCACTGCTTTAGGAATTGCAAGAAAGAATAAAAATCCCAATATACAACATCTCAATGAACCTATGGAATAGAAAAGACAAAGAGAAGATCTGAAAAGTATCCAGAGAGAACTCGATTGCCAATGTGGCTGATTGCTCGCCAGAAACAATGGACGTTAGAAGACAGTGGAATAGCCTCTTTGAAGTGCTGGTCATCTACAAGTATATACCCAGTGAAATTCTTTTTCAAGAACAACAATAAAATCATTTTCTGAGGCTAACAAAAGACTCTCTGACGGATACATTTATAGGATGTTCTTCAGAAAGAAATCAGTGATCCCAAAAGGGTGTTATGAACTACCAAAACAAATAGAGCAAAGGATATTGGTAAATGTAAACAAACATTGATTATTCAAAGTAGAGACACAAATGGATAGTTTCAAAAGTTAAAAAAAAATGTATAACTATAATCATGGGGAACTTATGAGTGAGTAATCACAGTTAAAAGTTAAAATCCCAACTTTGGGAAAAGTTGAAAAAAGTATTGATGACTTTAGACTTTGTGATTGGTATTCATGATCAAATAGCTATGAGAAGCACTAGCTAACAGTATGTATGACGTCCATACAGAAATAAACATAAATATATTGTATAACAATGGATACAGTCACTGTAAATGCATTTACTCTCAAGTTAAAGACAAAGATAGCCTAGATGCAAAGAAAACATAACTATATTGTATTTATAAAAGCTATAACTGATAGGAATGTTTGACCAAAAAGGTTTCCCAAGGGACCAAAAAGGTATATAATTTCATTATTAACCTGTATCTTTATTTTAATTTGTTTTTGCTGTAGGATTCCTAGAGTTTTACTATATATTCACAAATAGGTTCACTGGGAAGATTTAATAATTCCATCCTAAATAAAATAAAAGCGGACGAAACTGCAGAAAGCATCAAATCCATGACACAATGGACAAGGTTGTCACAATGGACTTCTGAATAACAGTTGGAGAATTAAAATCAGATCCTCATGATACTGTAGCACTTGCCTTAGTTAGTAATGGATACAATGAAGTATAAGAACAACAGACCCACAAAGGGAATTTGACATTTGAGGGAAAAAAAATAATAACTTATACCATGCAATGATATGCACTCAGAGACTAATGAAGTCATAGGTAAATAATTGCTGGGTTCAGGGGTAAAATTGGTGGTTAGCTTGCAATAATACTTTACAAAAGAAAATATTATTTTCTGGGGTACCTGGATGGCTCAGTTGGTTAAGCTTCTGACTTCAGCTCAAGTAAAGATCTCTTAGTTCGTGAGTTCGAGCCCTGCGTTGGGCTCTGTGCTGACAGCTCGAGGCCTGGAGCCTGCCTCAGATTCTCTCTCTCTCTCTCTCTCTCTCTCTCTCTCTCTCTCTGCTCCTCTCCTGCTCATGCTCTGTCTCTCTTTCTCTCAAAAATAAACATTAAAGGGGCGCCTGGGTGGCTTAGTCGGTTGAGTGTCCGACTTTCGCTTAGGTCGTGATCTCGCGGTTCGTGGGTTCGAGCCCCGCGTCGGGCTCTGTGCTGACTGCCGGCTCAGAGCCTGGAGCCTGTTTCAGTCTGTGTCTCCCTCTCTCTCTGACCCTCCCCTGCTCACGCTCGCTCTCTCTCCTAGAAATAAATAAAACACATTAAAAAATTAAAAAATAAATAAATAAATAAACATTAAAAATATTAAGAGATATTATTTTCCTTTAAAAATGGACCATTTATCTGATGATTAAAGTGAACAGTGAAATGTCAGAACGGCAAGATAATTGTGAGTACATCAAAATTAATTACTGTGTAGAATGACCTAAAATTGCCATAGGATTGCTATGTTCCAAATAGCACATCTGAAAATGTGTATGCAACGGATATGGGCAAAAGGCATCAAAATGTTATTCACAGAGCAAAAAGGAGAAATTGCTAATAAATATTTGAAAAGATGTACAACATCAAATGTAATCTGAGGGGATAAAAAGGGAAGCAGCAGTGAGATAACATTTGTCACGTCCAATTGGCAGGAATGAAAAAGATTGAAAAACTCATTCATAGGGGTTTATGGACACAGGTTCACTCGATATTTTCTCCATTCTCCATATTGTCATTCAGGTAGGCTTAGGGTATTTTTTGTGTGTGATGCACAAAAATTTGATGTTTTGTAATAATATTTATCCATCTTGCAGGGGTTTTTTGAGGATTAGTTTTATTACTTTAATCTTCTGAACAAATTGATGGTATATTCTGTACTCTGTGATGGAATAATTCACCTCCTAGGAATTTATCCCAAGGTATAAAATTATATAAATGCTCAAGGTTGTTCTTCATAGCCTTGTTAATATTAGTGGAAAACTAGGTGAATTTTTGGGACTAGGTGACTTGTGAAAGATTAGGGGAGGGGCAGGCTGCACCATTTAAAAGACAACGTGAGATAATGGTAAGCATTTAAATGATATGTAGACTAACATTTACATAGGAAGATGTGCATGACATTGCTGAGTGGATGAAGCAGGGTATTTTTCTGTTGTATAAACTTGTGTGTGTACCTGTCCATCATACGCAGTCACTTGTTTACAGTTGCACAGATGGTAGTCACAACCCGTGATGAGTGTGGTCTACGCTATAGAGTAAAAAGTCATGACATAGAATTTGGGCACTGTTGGGCTGCTTTCAACATATCTCTTTACATCTCTGGGCCTCTTTTTTTTTTTTTTTTTTAAGTTTATTCATTTATTTTTTGAGAGAGAGAGAGTGAGCGAGCCAACACAAGTGCCGGGAGGGGCAGAGAGAAGGAAAGATAGAATCCAAAGCAGGTTTCACACCATCAGTGCAGAGCCCAATGTGGAACTTGAACTCATGAACCCTGATTTCATGACCTATGCCGAGATCAAGAGTTGGGATTCTTAACTAACTGAGCCACCCGGGCCCCTACATCTCAGGGCCTCCTTAAGCACCCTCATCTCTAAAACTGAGGGCAAAGGAGTGAGCCTTGGACGCCATTGGCAATGACAGATATGCCATAGTGGCTATTACATCCCTCTTCTGCATCCAGACCAGATAGTGGTCATCGGCCCTAGCCTCCTTTCTCTGGGCTCAGCCATACCTGGGAATTCTTCTCACCACAGTGTTAGGTCAACATCTTTACACAGATTATATACTTTGCACTTGAAACTTCTCTGCCATCCTTGGATAGGATGATCTTAGAAGTCCTCTCAGCTGATAATGGATTTTTCTGATCAAGGAACACAAAGTCACTGTGGCGAGAAGTAAAAGGATTGTTTTTCAGAAAAAGAGGTTTGCTTTTCTAGTAGCCACATGTTTCAAAAGCCGTAAAATGGTAGAAACAGGTGAAATAAATATTGACGATATATATTATTAAATAAAATAATCCGTGACATGTATATAAAACAAGTATCAGTGGACTATTTCACATTGTTTTTTCATATCAAATCTTAGAAATCCAGTGTGTATTTATTGAATATTGCATTTTAGATGATGGCTTTTCATTGGAGATACTTGATCTGGATTTTAGTTTACAGCTTAAGAAGTAGAGTCTCCTATAGCGACATTCTTAAATTTTGTAATAATTGAATACTGGTTCTTAAATTTAAAGAAAGTTGAGATAAGGTCATGCTAGTTATATTTCAAGTACTGAATAGCCATGGTGGCTGGTGGTTACCATATTGGACAATGGAAGTTTAGAGACTACAAAGAAACATTCCATTTAATTTCACTTTCAAGGAGATTTTATATATACATATGTGTAAATATCTCTCTCAGTATACAGTAAAACCTTGGAATGCAAGTAACTTGTTCTGTGAGTATTCTGCAAGACAAGCAAACATATAATAAATTTTAAATAAATTCTGCTAATAAATTTTAACCTGATAAACAAGCGATGTCTTATAATACAAGTAGTATGTGACGCTGCCAAGTGTCACATGATCACAACTCAGCCAATGGTTCTTTAAATCTGTCTTGATACACGAGTGCTTTGGATTACAGGCGGGTTTCCAGAACAAATTATGCTCGTGAACGAAGGTTTCCTGTAATCCAAAACAGACTATAATGAAATGCTAAAAATATGTAGCGGACAGGCCATGTGCCAATTGGGTAGAGGTTCCAGACACATCCACGGCTTGCTGCATCCTTCACCACTTTGAAGTCTGAACGGTGGCGGTGATGTTTTTTTGAGTTTGTACGATGGAGCGTTGGACTTGAGCAAGTGTGTGTGTTCTCCCTGCAGGCATGGGACCCGCTGTGCTGGAGAAGTGGCGGCCGCGGCAAACAACTCTCACTGCACAGTCGGAATTGCTTTCAATGCCAAGATCGGAGGTATGGGAAACAGACCCGGGCAGCTGCGGAATCCTTTGTGGACTCAAGACAGGGATCTCAGTACCCACTAGTGTTCACCTGTGGCCGAAAATGACCACCTTAGCGTGTGTGATTAAACACAGTTACAGGCGTTTGAAGCCATCCCCCTGAAGTGTCGGAAACAGACATTTCTTTCTTTAAAACAAGCATGAGAAAAAAAATGTCCGCTCACAAAGATGGTGTCATTGACATCTCTCCCCCAAACTATATAATTGCTGCCTGGGTTGGAGAGAACTGATAATATAAATACCAGCCCATCGCATCTCTGTGGAAAGAAACATTTTGAAATTATATCAAAACAGAAAACCCATTTTTTTGTCCTTATGCTTTACAAAAAGATCCTTTTAATTGACGTGAAAATGGCAAGTAGTAAAACCTCCTTTTGTAGCTCCATAATGCGGCGATACTGTTGCTGTTAATAATGCCAGATTATGTATATACATTTCCCACGCATGCACAGACTCAAATAGACATATGCCTGCTACAAGGACCCAACCAAAGGAGCATAAATTTGGGCATTAATAGAAGCAAAGTCTTACTTTCCCATCTGTTATCATCTTTATTAGCTATAGCCTATTGCCACAGTCACACACACATGGGAAGGACACAATATGAGAGAGAGTGTAGATCCTAGTGGCTCAGAGGGTGTCCCCCTGAGGGGGGGGCGGTGGTGGTCTCGCAAACAACGTCACAGATGAACGAAGTTCCTGGTGACTAGACCGATATCTTTGCTTCCAGTATGCTATTTGTTGCCAAGTGGTGAATAGAATTGGATCTAAAAAAGAAATAAATAAAAATAACAGTACTCCTTTCCAGGGTCACTGTAGAGGTTTTGTAACCTGAAACGTTTGGGGGGGTCTGTAGTAACTGTGAGAAGGGAAGGCTGTCTGACACTACCTTGAATGTCAGTGCCCAGTACGTTTGCCCTTTCTCTCCTTTATTGTACACCAAATTCTTAGAGTGTGTCAGCTTGTTAACCAGTAATTAGCTGTACTCTGAGAGCATCTGCTGTGTGTCAAGGGGAAGGTTTATGAAGGAGCTAAAGAAAAGAAACAGAAATCTCCCCTGAAGAATGATGAGGTTGCTGGACACCCCTGATAGCCTCAGGAGAATCAAATGGCTATGGTGGCTGCCTCGTCAGCCCTTTGTGCTTCCCCAGACACACACAGTCCCTCCCATACGCTGACACACCTCCGTGTCCCCATCGTTACCCTCCAGTGCTAACCCAGCACTCACTGACCTTGAGGGAACAAAGGCATGAACTCACCGATAAGCAGCTGATGTAGTGAGGAAATGGCTGTCATCCCCAGAGCGAGAACATTCTGATTAGAAACGTAACCCCCAGACCCAAAGCATGAAGGCTTGCCGTCAGATAAAGAACAATCAACCTTGCATCTTTAAACTCGAGGAAGCAAAATTCCCACTTGTTCATTTTTGGTCAGAAAAGTCGTATTTACCCTCTCGATAGGATTTCATCAGGCATTTTTTTTTTTCATGGACTTACCATTGGTTGTGTGACCTAGAAACTGAATACAGGTATTGTGTAGAGATACTCCTGCTCCAGGCAGTTATGTAGTCCAGTGTTTATTTCAGACCTTTTTGTCTCAATAAAATACAGTTGATCCTTAAACAACACAGGTTTGAACTGTGTGGATCCACTGATATGCAGATTTTTTTGTCAATAAATACAGTACAGTAAACGTAGCGTCTCTTCCATATGATTTCCCTCATAACCTTCTCTTTTGCTCTAATTTATTTTATTGTAAGAATACAATATGGAATATATATATCGTACAAAATACGTGTCCATTGACTGTTTCTGTTATCAGTAAGGCTTCCAGCCAACAAGAGTTAAGTTTTGGCTATTAGTTGTTAAGTTTTGGGGGGGGGGTGTCAAAGTCAAAGTCGTACGTGGGTTTTTGACTGCACGGTGGTGGGGAAGGGTCAGCACATCTAACCCTGAGTTGTTTTCAATGGTCAACTCTAGTTCCTTTCTATGCTTTGAAATAGCGAGAAGTAAAAAGTGTAGAATATGAAGTAGTTCGTCTTTTTTTTTTTTAGTAAAAACTGTGCAGATGAATTTTGAATATTCATGTCAAATTAAAGCAAACCAATGGCTACTTAGGACCCAGTATATGCAGAAAGCCAGGCTTTCTACTCCCACAAAAAAAAGTGTCGAAATGCCTTCTGAGTACACTTTCCATTTCATAATTTTGAAAGTGACTTGTTTTACAACCGTTGTTCTCCACACCACCTGTTATATACACAGCCTTTAAAACTCCAAGTCTACTGGAAAAGATAGCCAAGAGATAGAACAGTCAAGTGCAATTTCGTTAGGGATGATTCAGGGAAGTTTAATATGTACTGAGTGTTTATTTTTACTGTTCTTATGTAAAGTATACGTGTGTGTGTGTGTGTGTGTTTATATATTTGTATACATATACTATATACATATATTGTATATATGTATATATATTTACTACCTGTATATACACACACAAATACATATAAAAGGATATAGTGACCTATCTGTCACATAGCTTTAAAAGGTTCCACTGAAAGTATGGCAGAAATGTTAACAGTTCTTGAGTGCTGTCGATATCAATGCCCATTGTCATTCTTTCTAGGTTTTTTTATGTTTGTAAATTTTAGAGTTACAAGTTAAACCGTTTTTTTAAAGCACAAAGAAGGTACCAGGTTTTTTTGGTTTCTTTTTTTTTGGTAAGAATAGGCTCATTTTCTACCAGAAGTACCACCTCAAACCACATAGCATTAAAGCTGCCTGATTTGTGGTTTTATTATAAATAACGTGTTGGTAGCCACAAAAGCTTGAAATCCTACCAGATAACAAGGTTTTTCTAAGGAGTGAATTTGAGCCGTAAAGACAGGATTGTAGCATAATACCGTGTCTCAGTGATGGCATTTAGCTTAAGCTGAAGGAGAGAGATGTTTACTTAATGATTAGATGTTCTGTTGTTGTTTCAAGTCTCAAAAATAAAAGGAAAGAAGGAAAGCCTGACATTTGACCTGCAATTTATTTTTGCATATCTCTGTCCGCTTTTGCCTATTAAGGTTAATAATAAATTCCTGTCTGTCCGGCAGGAATATACGTAAATGAAGATTAATGACTAAACATTATTAAAGCCCTTTGAGAATTATTTGACGTGTTCCATGCTCCAAGAACATTCTCATTTGTTATTTGACTCATAAATAACTTGGCAAAGAACTAATATATTAAGTTCACATCAGTCTTGCCGATTAGGAGATAATATTAAATATGGAGAAAATTAGACCCACCTAACTTGGCCGCTTTCCAAATTTGGTGAGCTCGCTAAGGTCAGAATGCTTTAGACCAATTATGAACACAAGTTACCTAATGAAGAGAAATTTAGGGAAGATGGATTGCCTAGGGGCTCTCTCTCTGTCAAGTACTCTCCAAAGACAGGGATAAAGAGAAGGGAGAAATTATGGAAACTTTACAAATGAGAATAATGGATAAAAAAGAATTTAAAGGAGTTTTGTTTCATCGTGTGCAACATAATTTACTCTCCAAGAAAGCTTCAGAAGATCCTACATTATCCTTTTTTTGGGGGGTGGGGGAGAGAGGGTATGCTCACATAACTGTTGCTTAAGTTTATCCTTTGCCCCCCAAATGCTGTAATTGGAATAGGTCTGGGGCTGTTTGGGTGTTACACAGTGAAGCCTCTATTCAAGCTAATTCCCTTGTGTCTGGAAGGGGTTCGGATGCTGGATGGCGATGTCACGGACATGGTTGAAGCGAAATCGGTTAGCTTCAATCCCCAACACGTGCATATCTACAGCGCCAGCTGGGGCCCAGATGATGACGGCAAGACCGTGGACGGACCAGCTCCCCTCACCCGGCAAGCCTTTGAAAACGGCGTTAGAATGGTAGGTTGGAAAAGCACCTCGGCTCATACTCTGTCCATCGGGGACGATTTTCCTGGGAAGCCATCTGTGCAACTGGGGGTCCCAGTCCATCAGCTTAGAGGAATGAATGGAGCTCAGCGCTGAGCTGAGAGACGGGCTTCTGGAAAGAGGCACATTTAGCTTTGGAACTGTGTGTTGCATCCTCTGAAAAAGAACTAAGAGCTAGAAATTTTCCCTTGACAAGAACAGAGGTGTATTTGGATGCTTAGATTTGCTCAGAGGAAATCCACTCATTAACACATAACCATCTTGCATTTGGAGAAGTAAATACCCAGCACTGCAGGATGGAGAAATGAAGATAATCAGTCTCTCCTTCTGGGGCTCCAGGTCCCCAGCAATGGCCTTCTGGGCCTCCCCCATTCATACTCCCTTGTCTTCCAGGGCAATACTATTTTTATGCTGTCTCCCAGGTTCCCTAACTAGGCAGCTCAATCCATCATCATTTTCCTTGATTTCACTAAAAACTCACTCACCATTCCTCCTCTCCCAAAACTGACCACATAACCTAATGTAATAAAATGCTTCCTTCAAATTACAGGTCTTAAAGAACCCTGTCATATTTTAATTACATAAAAATAAGGATGCCGTATACTTCTAACTGTGGAAAGGAGGATCGTTCCATCAGAAGCCACTCCCTTCTGTTTCTCACTCGTGAATGAAACTTTGAGTGATTTAAAGCCTACCTTTTATTCATGATCTGGGCCCACCCTTCCTTTCCTTCATCTCTTTTGACTTTTTTGAAATGTGAGCCTATTCATTCTTCCTAACCTTCATCACATACTCTTTCCCCACACATCCCTGCCTCATTCCTAAGTCCTCTTACTATACAGCTGGTTCTGTTCCATCATCAAGCCTCAGTTCAAATGCTGCCTCCATCCGGAAGCCTTCTCACTGCCCAAACTAGAACTAAGTGCAAGCAATCTCTGCCCTGCACCTGCTAAACTCTATATTCTTACTGGTGTTACATATATTGTCGTTAGCATAGTGTGCTTTATATCAGAGCTATTCTTGCCTGTATCTTCCTCATTGAATTGTATGCACCTAGATGGCAGAGCTGTGCTCTACCCATCTTCAGGAGCTTTGCAGAACCCAGGGAGAGTACATGGAACTCTAGTGAGTACTCTGTAAATGTTGGTTGAATTTTGTTTAATTTACTACAAGTTACGCCAACCTTGGGGTCAGCCCAGATTTGGAGCGGTGGAATGCACGCAGTTGGTTAATGTCATGTTGCCATTGAAGTGCAAATACTAATGCTTCTTCTACCTTTGTGGGATTGGTGTTAGGGTTTAATCACAAGACTGCGAGCCAAGCTGTCTCCTGGTTATTTTGAAATAGACTGGAAGGAAAAGCTTTTTCACTAGTTCAGGATGTACTTCCCAACTGAAGGATAGTTCAGCCTTGGTTAAGACATACTTTCTAATTCCATCAATTCTTAGATACTTTTGAGCCCAGTAAGGCTATAGAATAGGGTTTTAAATCGTTGCCTAGAATATCCTTTCAAGGTATCTGAACACTGAATGAATGTACTCTGAGTAATCTGGCGATTCCATTACCAAAGCCCTGGGCTACAGATTAGTGTACTCTCTCTCTCTGTGCCATCGATTGAATGCTCATTTAGGTTAATAAATCAAGCCTAGTTCATCTTTAATTTTCAAGTTGTATGTATATGGCTTTTGGTATAGTAAAGAGGCAGCTGGAATTTCTCATTAATGTGGTTAATGTTAGTAATGAGTAATTAATCTCAGGGCTGTACATACAGAGAATGTCCATATTCAATTGTTGCGATTGAATCAGATGATAGGGACCATTGGTTTTCAACTTTATTTTCTCTAGAGAATCTTGAATGCCATGGAAATCTTAGCTGGAAGTTCAGTGTGTAAAACATATTAAAAATGTGGTACTTTGGTTGGAGGAGGAAAAGGTTAAGATAGGAAGGAAGATCTGAGGAAGCTATTCAAACTGACAGGAAGATTCTATTTAGAAACAGGTTTTTAAAAAATTGCTCTATATTCATTATTAAGTACAAAATTTATTTTAATTATAAGAAGTCCTACTCTAAAGTTGAAAGTAAAAATAGATTTCCCACCCCACTAGATAACCCTTGCTGAGTATGAACTACACCTTTCCGTACTCATGTACGCATTCACACAACAGACGGGTCACAACCCTCTTCATGTTGCTCTTTTCACGTAACAGTATATGGGTAGTGGGCATTCTTCCGCGGCAAGGCGAAAGGATAGAACTCACTTTTTAATGTTTCAAAATTTTTAGAATGTGGACATGCGTAATTTATTCAACGTTTCACTGAAGGTTTTTCAGGGTTTTGGTCTTAAAAAAAAAACCCAACATAGGGCTAGCTTGAAAATGAACCCTTTGCTTTTAGAGTTAAGATAGTAACAAAAGAAATGACTCTTAAAAACAACAGATGATTCTCTGACTGCTATCCCGGCACATTCAGTTATGGAAAAGCAGCAGTGACCCATTTAGACATGATTAGATCAACAGGATAGGGTTTTTAGGGTTTAATACACGTGCGCTTTGGACTTAGCTAGAGTTGAGTCCAGAATCCTTACTGCTCTCTGACCTGATATGGATCAGGTGATCTGTGTTCCCCATTTCCTCTTCTAAAGTAAGGGAATAATAGGACTTTACTTAAAGAGATGTTATGAGTGGTAAATAAGATGTTAATGTATATAAAGCAATTGACACAATACCTGAAGCATATAGGTGCTCAAGAAATACATCTTATTTATAGGTATGTGTATGTATGTATATACATACGTATATGCATATATATATACCGTGAGACTATGACCTGAGCCGAAGTCGGACGCTTAACCAAATGAGCCCCCCAGGCGCCCCCAGGATAACCTCTTGATACACAAATCTATTCTATGTATCTGTTTGTAGTCTTGAATTGAATTTATGTTTTCCCAAGAGCTATTTCTCTAAATATCTGCGAATGTATAATTTAACCTTTTTAAAGCAGTAGATTAGTCTTCCAGCAGAAAGAAACCTTGCACCTCTTTGTCATCAGGCATCAAACAGCACAGTATATTTTATATTCCTTGAGATTATTCTAAGTTGTGTTCTTTATGTAATATACGTGGTCAAATATATAGAAAATGATTCGCTGGAAACTATACCAAGTTAGATTATCAAGTGTGACTAGGAGATAAATAAGTGACGTATTGATTAAGTGGTTTAAGGAATGAAGGAATAAATGATGAGGACAACAGTTCCCTCAGGTAGCGAGGTCAAAACCTATGTGACAGCTTAAAGTCACTCTGGCCCAGTAGGGTTTTAACTGTATCATCTACAAAAGTAGGGGAATTGAAATGTACTTATCCTTTCTATTAAACTCAGTGTACTCCCACCTTCTATTCAATGTAGATAAAGCAATGAAGGAGCCATCTAAGTTATGTATGCAATATGTAAAAGTCTCTACATTATAGTCATTAGGCAGGAAACAAATGTAGAAACCATCAAGACTATGAGCTAAGGATAAGTGTTATTAACACGATAAACAGGAAAGAGGGAAGGTTCTGTAGGTAAGGATACGTGAAGGGGACATTACTGATAAGATGCCAGTCAGGTGGAAGGAACGTTCCCTGCAGAAGGAAGAGCCAGGGCAAAGCACCCCGAAGGGAGAACAATCAGGTGTGTTCACAGAACAAAATGCTAATTTGGGTGATGGGAGCGCCGTGGACGGAAAGCAGGTAGAAGGAGACGGCTTGGAGAGGTAGGCAGGGGCCAGCTGAGCAGGGCTTTCTAAACCACGGAGTGTGTTTGCATTTTATTCCATTACAGAAAATCATTGGAAGTTTTCAGCAGAGTAGTGGCCTGTGGGGACACACAGCTTTAAAAGCTCGCTGCTGTCCAGGGAATGGACGCTGTGTGGGAAAAGTGATGGGGAGGGGAGAGCGGACGGTTGAAATGGTCCAGGGAAGAGTTGATGATAAATAGGACCAGGTGGAGCAGTGACGTCACGGCAGGTGGCAAGGGGCGGCGAGAGGGAGAAGCCTACATATCAAAAAAGATTTTCCCAAAGCGAATATGTTTCGCTCAGGGAATCCAAATATTGATTGCATCCGTTTCTCCTGCTTGCTAATCAAAAAACGTAGCAAATATTGGATTTCAAAAATGCTCCCTGTGTTTGCTATAAGAGAAGTGTTTGCATCAGTAGAATGTAACACTCTTTTCAGAGACTTTAACACAATCAGAACTGATTCAATTTACAGCCTTTAGAATTAATGTGCCAGCGTTACATTAGACAAACTATGTTGAACAAACTGTTTTACAATTGACAACTTGCTCTTCTCCCCAGAGACTGCATTTTATTTGATGCCGAGGCATTGTAAAATTAAATGCAAGAATTAAAGGTACATAATTCAGGTTGTGTACAATTAATGATGATGATGATGATAGTGGTGGTGGTAATCATCATATTAGTAATGGTACTGAAACACTTAACATTTGCCATTCTGTCACAGTACGGTCACTCTTCTGAGCCCCAAAATAGATGATTTTAAACCCTTTTTTAAAAATGGAGAGAGAAACATAGCATGAGTGAGGAGGGGCAGAGAAAGAGGGGGAGACACAGAATCCAAAGCAGGTTCCAGGCTCTGAGCTGTCAGCACAGAGCCCCACATGGGGCTCGAACTCACAGACTGTGAGATCATGACCTGAGCCGAAGTCGGACGCTTAACCAACTAATCCAGGCAGGCGCTTCAGAGGATGACTTTTAATCTTCACAATAATCTCATAAGGTAGATCCCCGTTCTCCCCAATTTTACAGAAAATAGATATTCAGCCTAGCTAGAGAAGTCAGAATGTGGGCCTCCAAGAAATCTAATAAATTACTTTACCTGTTGTCCTACCTGCTTTATTTGGCACCCGCTGACCTGCTTGTCTCATCTGTGACCACATAGCGGAGCTTTTCTCCTGTTTCTGAGGTTGAA